CTCACGATGTTTTCCTTCACCGTCTGTCAATGGTGTCTACATACTCTTAGAAAGTAGGTACATATGACTCGGAAAAATCACATTGGTACTTGCCAGGATCGAACCCGCGCCCTCGGCAACGAGAGGCGGGCCTTTTAATCACTAGGCTACCACTGACTAATGTCGTTGTGATTTTATAAACAGTTCCATACACTTCCTAAGAAGATACTATTTGGCAGTAGGTGAAAGAAATGATTAGATCGCTTGATTGATTCACAATTCTGGGATAATATAGCTCAAAGTTTGTTTAGAAGTTTTATAAGAATTCTTGTATGTGAGATGTTATCAGGTTGTGAAGATAAAATCTTTAAATTTACTTAATTTCGATCAGATATCGTCTTTGTGAAATTGTTTTAACCCTTATTTGTTATGATTAACTTAATTATAACATATGCTAGGGCAAGATTTTAAGTAACAACCGTATAGTGGAATATATAAATAAAGACATTTATTGTCTCTGATCAAAATGAAATTCTGTTACAATTTATATGTAAGATTTTCGCGTGCACATATTTGAAATGATACTACATTTTTGGTATATAACTGCGGGAAAATGTAAGATTAAAATTATAAAAAATAATAATATGGTTGATAGATTTGCATATCATCGGATTGTAATATTTGTGATCCTTAATGTGCGTTTGCTGTCTTTATAATGCTATTTTTGCTAATTAGAATTATTTACTGAATAACATGTAATGAATATCACATTTGACTTTGAAAAAAACCTTTTATATTTTGTAAAGTTATAGTCTGTTGATAACAGGTAAAACTTTGTATGAAGAAAGTATTTTAATGATATTTTGAATGAGATATATTATTCGTGACTCTCACAAATGAACCAAACTTCGTGGCAGACAAATTTCAATCATGAAAATTCTAATCTAAGTTTGTATAAAAGAATTTGCTAATTACTTAGTTTTAGATTTGTCATATATTTCATTCATATATTTTCATTAAAAATATCTTTAATAATATTAGAATATAAATATTTATACAGCTTGTAAGTCAGTGGTGGCCTAATGGTTAGAGGGCCTTCCTCTCGTTGCCGAGGGCGCGGGTTCGATCCTGGCCCGGGCAAGTTCCAATGTGATTTTTCCGAGTCATATGTACTTTCTAAGAATATTTAGACATCACTGATTAATGCTGATTCCCAAAAGAGGGTTGATGTCGGGCAGGCGGCCGGTCGTAAAAAACAATTAGCCAAAACTATTCACAACATGTAAGGCTGACCCTGGCTATAGCCGGGAAATTGCCAGGTAGAAGAAGAAGAATATTTATACAGCTCTGTTAGTAGATCCTTGCTTTCAGTAAAAATGACACACAATTTCAGGAACGTAATGCACTGTTTTCGTATTGCCGATACTTCAACCCAATTTTACACAATCTTTGTAAAAATTATTTAAACTTATCATAGTGTCGACAAGATTGTATACCAAACGAAAAAATTATATTTAATACACTCTACCCTTATTTTAAGCTATGGCTTCATTAACACGGGAATCAAGGAATTTTTGCCAACTTGAACTTTTTTATTGTCGAAACCCTATAAATATTAGGAAATTATGTTGACACAACAATATCTTGTAGTTGATATACAAAAACATGTTTCTCATTAATATCTGTTTTTAACGTTGGCGTTTTTTGATATACGAGTATTAAGAGAGTTTTCGTGTTGTTGTACAAAGCACACATTCTTCTTCTACCTGGCAATTTCCCAGCTTTAGCCAGGGTCTGCCTTACATCATACATGTTTTTTTTTAAATAATTTTGGCTAATTTTTTTTTACGACCGGCCGCCTGCCTGACGTTAACCCTCTTTTGGGAATGTATTAATCAGTGAAGTCTAAATATTCTTAGAAAGTACATATGACTCGGAAAAATCACATTGGTACTTGCCTGGGTCAGGATCGAACCCGCGCCCTCGTGCATGAGAGGCGGGCCTCTTAACCACTGGGCCACCACTGACTCTATAAAGTACAAACACACATTTTTTAGCACTAATAAGTAAATCATTCTACATGTATAAAATTTAATAATGTCATACCTATATAAGTCACTGTGTTTTTAAATAGGGCTCAAATATTTAAGAAACAACTCTCAATAAATTGAATTTAAATTTATTCAGTAGTTTTCTCGTGATTAGCGTATAAAATCAGAATTTTACAATTTTATTTAAAATTAAAATTAAACATTAAAAAGATGTTAAGACGCAAAAAATATATTTTATATAATTTAGATGACTATTAAATAGAAAGTAAGAATTAGATAAAATTGAAATTCATTTAAAAAATATCTATTTTTATGTATAAATGACAAAAATAAAATTTTTACAAGAGAGTCAACGTTGCTATAGGAGTAAGAAAGCATAATAAGATTAACCAAAATGAAAATAGTATTCTCGAATTAAAATTTTGAAATTAAAGAAAATGTATACCTAATGAGAAACTCATTGACATAAGGAGGAGTGTAACCTGTGACCCGCAGAATATCAGATTCCACTTGCGTTACGAAGGCTAGAGATTCGATTCCTATTCGTGCCCATTTGCTTTCTACAACACGTACATATGTTCTTATTGAAATTTTAAATATTAATTGGATCAATATTAATTTCATGATCAAAACTTAATTACTCGAAATTATATTCTATATATAAACTTGAATTTTTTCTTTTTGTACATTAAATATTGGTTTTCACCTTGATAAATTCTGATAATTTTGCTGGAAGAGAACAATTGTATTTTTCTTAATAAACTTATCTATCGATTATTATATAATTGATGTCTGTGTATATTTAGACTGAGAGTGAACTATAGGATATTTATTATAAAATCTTAAAATAACCTTTTGCATTGATTCTTGAATTTACGTGTTTTTTCACTTTAGTGTATTTCAAGACGCTAAAAGTCATCTTTTCTACTTGATGTTTAAATCTTAATTTTATGTTTTAACTGATCAATTTTGATATATACATATGTGTCTGTTAAAAATTCTAAATATAAATTCCTAAATATTTTTTAAAAACAAGCATCAAAACTCATCTATCGGGCTCTTGTAATCGTTCTTGTAAAAATTCGTTTCAAAATTTCGCACACAAAATCACGACAAAAGTCATTCAGGCCCCACTGAATGTACTAATCTTTGTCATGATATTTAGGAACTTTCCTGATAATAATAAATAAACCCAGTTTACATTATAAAACAGACAAATTAATTATTAGTTAAACCACGTATTAAAATTGTATGCTTTTTAAAAATTTTATTGTATGTAAGCATTTTGCAATAATATATATTCTTGGTAATATATTATGTATGTATGTGGAACTAAATTTTGGATCATATAATAACAAATACGGTTTTACATACACATAAGAATGATGAGTATTAATATACTTATAATAAAAAGGTCCCAGTTGGTGATGTTAATTATATTTGATATTGCCAAAATATAGCCTTTATATTTGAGAATACAAAATCTCAATGAAGCAAAAGTAATCACAGTAAGTAATATAAATAAATATATAACAAACTATAGTGATAATAAATTGTTTATCTAGTTTAAGTTTTAAATTTTTCATTCAATCGTCGGGAACGTCATGATGTATAGGGGTTATCTGGTGCGAGGGTTTAATTAGTCACGCTACAGTAGCACGTCCCTTCCCTTGATCGGGATCAGATAAACAGATAGGAAGCTGAAGGGAGACGACGTTTAAAACATCTTCAATATATCAGCGTATAGAAAATTACTATTACAAGATACTATATGCTTCAACAATCAGTGATAGTCGTATATATGTGTAAACATTATTGCCTGTAAATCAACGAACTAAATGATTTAATTCTATAGAAATCTCTAACTAAACGTTATAATAAATTCCGTCAGCTGTACATAAACTCTAAATGGAATTAGGTTTTCACTTTACATTATTTTGACTCTTTTATAGTGACATGTTCACAATTGCGAATTGTTACCGATATATTTTGAATTAAATTGCAATGTGTTATACAGGTTTAATAGGTTTCCTAATGAAAATTAACTTCGTGAAATATAACATAGATTTTCATTACGAAGGATTTATGTTAAAAAGTTTAATCACTACTTAAAAACAAATCTTATATTGAGCTTACAAATTAATTTTGTAAACGTCTTGAATAAGGGCGGACGTTGTAGGGCGGTTATTCGGTCATCCCGCCCTACTTGACATTCAAAAACTTCCTTAAGTACTTCCGAAAAAGTTGAGATTTTCTCAAGAACTTTCACCCCATTTCAGAAGTTTGTCGTTATATTTAAATGTCATAATAACATCGGTTTGCGGTAGCTTTTTCATTAACGGAGTCGTTTACAAAGTTAATTGTTTATTTTAATTAAGATATAATTTTTAAACATAGTTTTGTTGATTGCATTGTAATTGTTAAAATTCATGTTAAATCAAATATCAAAGTGGTTATTTTTGATACTTTACCTTTTTAATTTTATCATAATCACTTTTTATTTATTCCATATTTTTTAAAATCTTATTATCACTTTTTTATATCTCTGTTTACGATTTCGTAATAAAGTCGTTCTGAAAGTAAAGAATTTTCTTGTTTGTAAAGTTAAATGGAATGAAATTAAAGTTTCTTGTAATTTACTACATTATCCATTAAGTTGAACATTCAAACTTTAATAAGTAACGCGGCTAAACCTATCAGTACAAACTATCCTCCGAGTCAGAATATTCCTTTCAATGTGTAGTGCCAAAATTATTGACTATTAATTATATCATTACTTAAAGAACAATTAATTTGTCTTTGAGGTAAAAAAAAAGTATTTCACGTATTTAAGAATGTGTGAGTTATGGTTGTATTCTATTAATATATTTTTTTAATCTTATGTAATTTCTATTAAATTTGACCCTAGTTCATGTATCTTTTTGTTTTGTATACTTATTGTGTAACAATAACTGCACCTTCGGCACTCACCGCGACCACTACGGCCGACGAATCTCAAATCGTTGAACTTTGCCACTTGGTTCTTCATGACCGCCGAGCTGTTACGGAGTTCAGCGCAGCAGTTCTCATCGTTGCCAGCCCTGACAGTCACCAGGGTCCCGTCTCCAACATCACCGAGCGCTACCACCTTAAACGCCACCGGCAGCGTCTTATTGGATCGCCAGTGAGGAGGCAGCACTGTGCATACGAAGTGTGGACTACCAGTCCTCACCAGCTCTCCCGGGTGCTCCGATAGAAAATCACCCAGCGTCCTCTCCGCGAGTATATCTGACGTCATCTTGGTGTACGTCTCGTGGAGGAGCGCGGAGCTGGTGTCCGGTGACACGGCCCCGCTGGAGGCACTCGTCAAGTGCATCCTCGACACCCTCGCTCTCTGCGTGCTGCACATAGAGTCCACTGTGCCCACACCTACATCGCACTTTCCACTCCACACTTGTCACATCCACTGGAAGGAGTCACCGTCGATCGACGACATTTCTCAACACCCGCGATCCTGCACCTTACGGAACCTGTGAGATGCGACTCGTTGCTAGGGAACGAGCGCGTGGCCACTAGATACGGTGACGTCACACGGCCTTGCCACACTTTTTTCCCGGTGAATGAAAGGTTCGTCGGTGGGTGGGCGAGGGACGCGAGGGACGCGAGGGGGCGATTTTTTCCGGAACAGGGGGTTCTCCCCCGCGCGTGGCGAAAAAACTTTTCACTAGTTCCAATGCCGGCACTTTTTGTGTACCGTATCAACAATCGCACGCACGTGCCTGTCGCTCTCGATCACCGATCGTTTATTTTGTCACCGCCGAATCTTCCTATTAATTTGAATGTTAATTGTTCTCGCTACGTAATGAGGGGAGTATCGGGTGCGTGCGTCGTAGTGCACGTTCGAGATACGACTCGAGCTGACGTTATTCGTCGAACGGGTCGGTTGCGGTGGCTATTAATACGCGCCGTACGTCCGTACGTCCGCGCCCGTCGACTTCGGACAAAGTTTCGCGGGTGAGCAGCGGTGGCGGCGAGCGAGAGGCGGCAACAGCGCGGGCGCGGCGGGCGGCGGAGCGCACTTTGCGGTCGGGGTGGGTTGGGTTTAAAGCCGCCGAAGGATAAAACATACAAATAAACACGTGTTCGCGCCGGCGCGAGCGAGAGGTGCCACGTTTGTACCGGAGCGAGTGAGATGGGGGATTACTCTTGCGGCATTTAGCAGCCGTTCTGCTTGCTGGCACCCGCCTGCCGCCTAAACCAAACCAACATCGCAGTTGCCGTCGCTGCCGTCATTGACAACTTCGTTTAAAACCAGCCACAGCTGAAACCGCTACCCATATCCCATGTTTGTCTCGATGGACCAACAGTGATAACAGTGATAGTGATTTTTTGATCGGAAATAATTTTTTTTATACATAAATACTATACACTTTTTAATTCCTTACTTTGAACTAACTTCTAATGATCGCATCATCGTTTGGATTTTTTTTTTAACTATGTATATGGTACGAAACTGTGAACTTCATTCAACCATGTTTTTACAACTTTAATAATTTATAATATAAAAAGTAAAAATCTAAATTCAGTTTGGTCACCAACCATAGTTATCATTTAATTTTGCAAAGGAGAATGTTAAGGGTATTATAACGATGACCATAAAAGTAATCTGCGAGGTCTATTCAATCTTAAAAGTGTTCGGGTTAGAGATAAGAGGGTTTACTGTATTTATATTTAATAAGTTTAATTAATAATTATATTTAATAATTATGTAGTCCCAAATAAATCAGATTAATGATAATTTTACGTAATATAAAATTTCTGGGTATTTGCACAAATGAGTTTAAATCAAAAGACAACTAATTGCTTTTAAAATAAATTATACATTTATATTAATAAATTTGTATATTAATATATAAATTGCAAATAATAATTATTATGTAATCTTCTATGACAAAGTTTTTTTCTATTTTTCCCTTCGTATTTTTTTTTTAATTTAACTCAAAATGTATCGTTAATTTTACCATATTATTCTCTTATTTAGTTTAATATTAAAAGTTTGAATAGAATTTTCACTCAAAATATGTGACGGAACCTTTTTATCCCTAAATTGGCTTAAGCAAGACGAGCTTACAGACGTTGACTGATACGAGTGGGGACGCGAAGGATCAACTTAATAAAGAACGTTAGTTAATATACAGCCTCTTTGGTACGATGATATTATTTTAAACACTAAAAATAACAAAAAAAATATTAAAATATGAAATTATGGCACTCCAAAATATCTCTTTACATTTTTTTAATTGATATAAATTACTAGTACTTTAATTAGTCACCAGGATTCATTTTTCGTAATCATTCATGGTATTCAAAATAGTTTTCACACACGAATTAATCTTGAATTGGAATAACAGAAGCCGAACAAAGTGAATATCGAGTATACGAGATACAAGTTACAAGATACTCCAGTCCATTTTGGACCCCATCTCTATTGCCGAGCACACAAATCAATGCTATTGCAATATAGTTTTTATGACATCATAATAAGGTTGTTAGTTTTCGTTCTTTGACAAATCTCACCCATTTCATTTCGCGTCATGTAGCTCTACTAATAGCCATTAGTGCCTTTCATTGCAGCTGTCACTTTCACAAACACCTGACTAAGGCTTCGCTATTAGACACATGTTCTAGAACCTTCCAATGCTAACGCGACCAATAAATAATTTGATTAATAGACTTTTATAATTAAATTGAGAGCAATTTAAGTCTTCATATTACACGTATGATGTGTGTACAGTAATTAGATGAAGGCGATTAAAGGAACACTTTGGCGTTGGTTTTCAGAAAAAATATATGTATTATTTTATACTTCTATAATGATTGGAAGAATACATAAATAATAATAAATTTACTTGCCATAACTTGAATATGTATTTTTTTTTACTTCAATATCAAAAAAAAAACTTAAATATTATTATTAAATTTACTGCCAAAGTATCATTACAAAAGGGCAAAGATCGTTAAAATATAACAAATAATTAATTTAACTTGAATCTTGACCGGCCGAAGAGATTAAAATTTGTTTTCTCATTTATGTTGTAAAATTTTTCACTTAAACAATTTTAAAATGGTTCAATTCAATTAAAGTAGTTAAATTTTTATTGGAATCGAATCCAACACTTTCAAACATCGGAGTTAATAACAAAAATAAGTAGATTTTGAAGACAATATTATTTGAATTCGACGAATAATCACTATAACTTAATCATATTCTATCCTTAGTAGAAAAATAAAATCAGGATCCAAGACCACTATATTTCTGATTTTTATTTTTTTATGCTAAAATGTATTCGCCAACCTATAAATAAAACCGTAATTGCAAAAACCATACAATAGGAGGACGACCTCAAAGCTACTGTAAAGTATAATAAAGGTATGCAGATCAGTCGGTACGCTCAGCAAATATTGGAGCTCCCTTACAACACAAAATCAAACCTTTTATTTAAGTCCGGGCACACAGAGGGCACATTGTTTGCAAGGGATCGGGGGAGATAGTTCAACAACCCTCTCGCTGACCGAATAGACTCTGTCAGCCATTAGATTATATTATCCTTTCATGTGATTTAATTCAGATTTTATACTGCTCCAAAAATAAAATAAGTCTCAGTATCTACAAGCAATTGTAGAATTACGAAACATTACATAAGTGATCTAACATATCTTCCTATATTTCATTTGTATTAACCGTTCTGAACATTCAGACGGCATAACTATTCACATAAGATTTCATTGTATATTTGGAGGCTAAAACCCAGCATAACAAAAGGGCTGTATAAGCCGGCTAAGCAGCAGTTAGCCACCAGATTGCAATAAACATAGCGTAGTGGACGCGTAGCCCAATGCTACGTCGGACACATCAGAGAACAGCGAGTAGCGTGGAGTAGAATTATACTTTATATTTTTATTACTTAATAAATATTTTTTATTTAAGAACAACTATAATAAAAAAATTATAAAAATCTGCAGTCTTACTGCACTTATCATGTGTCTGAACAAATGGATTATATGTGTCATGTAAATGATAAATTGGAATAAAGTAAAAATATTGTAAGTCATTTTGATCTAATATCTATAGAGGTCCTTTATAATTACGTAATAAGAATAGGTTTTATCCAATTTTAATAATTCACACATCACGTTCTAATTTGAAAAATAATCTAATTAGAATCATTAAAAAAAAATATTCCTATGTGAATATTCTATTAAAATACTATGAGTAATAGCGACTCCATATCATTCAGAGAAGTGCAAGGTCCCAGTCGGTCAAACCGTCCGTCGCCCTCGTTAGAGAAGCTCAAATTAATGCAGCCCATTCGCCGCCTGACGCCCAGTTGTTCTTAAATCTAATTGCCGCGCCACCGCCACGCACACTGATTAATCTACCTCCTAATGCTTCGGCATAACATATTGTGCTTCAGATTGTTCCGCCTCTGAGAAATAGGTTAGCTCGGTGTCTGAATCTTAAGTCGTTGCTATGTGCAAGGAAATTGTGAAGTAATTTCAGAGCAAGCTTAAGAGTTTTGTTCTAAAAATATTCCTATTATGATATTTTAAAGTGTGATGAAATCTGTTTGACAATAAATATAGAAGCTATTGAATTTGAAACATTGAAAAAGAAGCAGTTTTTAGAAAAGAGGGACGTTGTTGTACAGAAACAGATTAAAAAATAAAGCAATCATTCCAATTAAAGTATTTAGCTGAATTGTGGGCACAAAGTGCTACGAATCGGTGTTTTAAAGTCCCTGGAACTTTGAAGTTCCGCAAACATGTGAGGGTTAAAATAGAAGTTGTGCGCGAGTTTAAAATTGTTCCGACGAAAAAAGGAACTTTAATTTTCTACGTTTTAAAACAAAAGTCGCTACCAGCCGGGATAATGGCAGTAACGTGTTCACCCTTCACAAAGTAGCTCAGGAATTGGATGAACCTATTCATTTATTTATATAACACCTAATCAATTATTATTATAAGAGTACATGTAACGTTAATAATACATATGAATGGTTTTATTAACTTTATATAACAATCATTACCATCATCATCAGCCTATCGGAGCTAACTGCTGAGCAAAGACTTCTTCTCACATTGAGAAGATTTGAGATGAAATCACTACACTTGCTCAAGACGGGTTCGCGATTTCAAAGTTATATAACAATCATTATCATGAATTTAATTGAGTTTTCACCCGTATGTGGCTCTTTTTAAAGGTAGATATTTTTTATATAAATACATGCTTGTCTTGCAGGATGCCTCGCATGGTTTCTTGAACGGAATGTAGGTTCAGACAAAAACTGCTCTGGCTTCAAACGAAAGGGTCACTGGACTCGCCCTCGCCTCGTTAGCGCGGTTTGTGTTTCCCAAAGTGGTAATTAATGAATTTATTTTAAATAGATCTTAAAACACATCTCAAATAATTTGTTGTTTATAAAATCATTGAAATGTAGGCCTTTTTAATAATGAAATGAATACGTTGTTACTATAACTTTTGACTAGGAAATTAAAATCTTTAATATCATTTGGTGTACGTATACAAAATATAATCTTATAAGACTATGACGGCGTGTTAAAAAAGTTTCAATTATTTCAACAAGATTACCAACAGATTTATCTGAATGAATTCACCTACAAATAAAATCAAAACCTTTCATATAAGAATCAAGTTTAAAACCGATCATCATAATAGTTTGAGAGCCTCTGTAATTTGCATGCTATATAAATCTACGTATTCAAATGCTCAGTTGCCTAATGAAAATGAGCCCTTTCTTCCAACGACGGTCAAACCCTCGGTCCGGAGCGTGGATGCTTCATGTTCGTGTGTTTTAAATGAGAATCGCACTTACAATTTATGTGGAAGGGTTTGGTTTGGGGCTTAGATAACTGTTTTATTTCTTTTCCACTGGCAGGTGTTATTGATTTCGCATTGTTTTTTCTGTTTGTTCTACTATTTGGTGCTCATCTATTTTGTTTGTATATTAAGGTTATAAGGTTTACTTTGAATTTATTATAACTATTGCTATATAAAATTCTACTATACCTTTGCTGCCTCTGTTAATGTTTGGGCATAAATTAATTTGGAGTAAGATTTAGTTGTAAATTGTTTAATAGTTTTAAGTGTATTTTTTTCACAAACTTTAACGTTTGATATATTATATGAGATATACATATTTGAAAAGCTGTTATAAAATAGTCTTCCAGCGAGAGCTTTCTGCTTTTATTTATA